GTTAAGATGCCCCACAACCCATTTTGGGGTGCCTAGACTTGAGTTCTTGGTCTGGCTTCCCGTGAATGTAGATCCTGTTGAACAGGAAGGTAATAGCTCAGGTGGCTGAGTCCCTGTCCCATGTGGGAGATCCGGTTCCTGGCTTGAGGCTCAGTTCATCCCTGGCTGCGGCAGGCATCTGATGAGCGAGCCAGTGCACGGGACTTGCACTCTCTCTTTCTCTGTCTCTGCCTCCACCTATCTTGGTCTCTCTACTTCACAACTTTCAAAAAGGATTCCTTTTCAAGTAAGGGTTCCGTGTCTAAGTAGATAAACTGACGAGCTATGAGTCCTGGCAGAGGATGAAAATTTCCAGCCAGAGGAGACTCTGGGGAGCTCCAGGGAGACTCCTAGCTCTCTGGTTCTGCTGTCTCCAATGAAAGCAGCTGATCCACAGCCCTCGACACACACAGCTCTCCCGGCAGATCAAATCCCATAACCCAATGCCACGTACCGCCGCCTGGGACTGCGGCGACCACGGCCCAGGGGACTGTGAATCAGCTCTGGAGGGTGCTTTTGTTCTCTGTGCTTCCTGTTTCCCTCGCTGATCAAATATTTAACAGGCGGTTCCCACTTCCTCTTGACATGGAGCGTCCATTGGTGTTTCTGCGGGGCATTTTGGTTCTCTGGCAAGCTCGAAAGTCAAGGGTTTAGGAGAAAAATACCTGGGAGGAAAAACACTCAGGAGAAAAACTTGATGATGGTCCAGATAATACAAGAAGAGCATGTCGGAGAAAGTTCAAGGAAAATGGCACTGAAAGATGTTTGGGTGCAAATAAATAAATGCTTGAAATTGTCACATAGTTTTTTCCACAGTCCACCTTTTTCAAGGACACTTTAACATATGAATCTAAAAACGGCAGAAGGACTGCAATGACTGTGAAAGAAAAGGAACAGCTGACTCCTGATCCACGGAGACAACACCCTGCAGCAAGCCCAAGTCAAGGTCAGCTGCAGCCCCATAGAATGGCTTCCCCGTAGGGACCTTTGGGAAGAAGAGAATTCAGCACACACACAAACACATACATGCACATACACATAGACACACACACACTGCCCCAGCCAACATTCCTTCTCCTCTCAACCTCCTGACAAAGTTGCCTGTCCTAGGGAGAGGACATGACCAGGAAGGCTTAAAGCCAAAGACGCAACCAAAGACCAGCTCCCTGACACCCAGACTCTGTCTGGAGTCCCTCTGGCTGTCCCATTGCAACACAGAACTTGGCCACAGGTTGCCCTCCTAGGTCTCCTGCTCTGGGCATCTCCCTTGGCACCCAGGTAAGAACAACACAGGCTAAACACAGATTAGGGGCAAAGAACTTAATGGCCCCTTGGGGCGTTTCTTTCCCGAAGGGCAGCTCAGCTATTTAAGGATAGCAGTTTCCTCTTGGTCATATTTTTGTTATTAGAAAGGCAGATTTACAGAGAAGGAGAGAGAAAGATCGTCCATCTGCTGCTTTACTCCCCAAATAGCCACAATGGCTGGAACTGAGCTGATGCAAAACTAGGAGCCAAGAGCTTCCTCCAGGTCTCCCATGGGGGTGCAGGATCCCAAGGGCTTAAGTTAACCCCCTGCTGCTTTCCCAGGTCGCAAACAGGGAACTGAACGGGAAGCGGAACAGCCGGAACATGAACTGGCACCCATATGGGATGTTGCGACTTGTAGACAGAAGATTAGCCAGTTGAGCTACTGTGCTAGCCCCCTCTTTGTCACCTCTGAGTTTTGCATGACACCTGCCAGTAGGAGCCGTTGTTTGGTAACTCTTGACTGTTTGTGGCTACGGTTGACAATGATGAGGATGAGAGAGCTGGGGAATGACTCTTGCCCTGTGAACTTGCCCTAGGACTGGCCATAGGCCTGAAAACAGTGAAGGAGACCTGTGCTTTCCTAGAACTTGCTTGCTAATGAGTAGAAGGCAATCCCATCTGTGTTTAGGGCCCAGCTTCCAATCCCACCCGAGCAATATCTGCATAGATACTGAGAGCTTTGAAAGCCCCTCCCGTACAGACTTTGGTGATCTAAGTTAGGAGTCATGAACACAAATTCACATAGTACACATGGAAAGTTTACCATCCCCACACCTTTGCGCAGGACTGCAGAGTGGCTACAAATGTCTGTGACTTCAAGAGCAAATCAACAATTGGCACTTGGACGAGTTCTGGGCTCCCAGGAGATACTTACGATTGCATACTATCTATCTGCATGTCAGAAAAACAGTGCAAACATGGACGCCGCTCTGACCAGAGCCTTCTGTTTGCTGGGGGATTTCCAAACAGCAACTTCTCCAAAACAGATTCCTTCACAAAGTCAGCACCCACTGTGAACTGCTCCAGAGGAAGTAACAGCTTGGTTCATAGCCTGTCTCACTCAAGACTTACTTGAGACACTCAGTATTATTCCTCTAAACTGTACCTTTCTCAAAAACATTTTTTAAAGATTGGTTTGTTTCATTTGAAATCCAGAGAAAAGGAGAGACAAAGAGCGAGAAAAAGATCTTCCATCCACTGGTTTACTTCCCAGATGGCTGGCTGCAATGGCCAGAGCTGGGATGATTCAAAGCCAGAAGCCAGGAGCTCCTTCTGGGTCTCCCACATGGGTTCAGGAAACCTAAGGACTTGGGCTATCCTCCATTACTTTCCTAGGTGCATTAGCAGAGACCTGGATCAGAAGTGCAGCAGCCAGGACTCAAACTGGGGCCCATACGGGATGCTGGCATTGCAGGGAGGGGTTTAACATGCTATGCCATAAGTCAGTCTTGGCTGGCCTCCAACTCTAATGAAAAAGGCCTCCCTGGCCCCTCCCCCAACATGAACACCGTGGGGAACCACCTGAGCTTTGCTGATCCTGGCTGAGCTGTCTCTTGATAGTAGCAACCAGTGTCTCATTGCACACTGTCGTGTGTTCTGTCAGATCGTGTGTGTGAATTTTCACACAATTCACCCTTTAACTCCAGAGGGAAAAAAAGATATGACACGGCAATGTCACTGTGACTTTACTGACACTGGTCCTGGGACAGAGAGGAGCAAACCTGAACCTGTCCCTGCTGCTCTCCACTGCACACAGTCAGTCCTTCATATCCACGTCTTCCATAACGTATCCAACTCAACAAGGACTAAGAAACACTATGTCTCTATGGAATGGTTACAGACCCTTCTCCTGGTCCTTATCGCCTACGTAATACAGTTCAACAACTATTTACATAGCATCTCCATTCAATTAGGTATTAGAAGTAATCCCAGAGCTGGTGCACTGGTACGTCCAGCTAATCTTCCACTTGCAACCCTGCCATCCCATATAGACACCAGTTCATATCCTGGTGGCTCCACTTCTAATCTAGCTCCCGTTAATGTGCCTGGGAAAGCAGCAGATAATGACGGAAGTGTTTGGTCACCCATGTAGGGGGCCCAGAAGAAGCTCTAGGCTCCTGGCTTTGGATTGGCTTAGCTCCAGCTGCTGTGTCCATTTGGAGAGTGAGCCAACAGACAAAAGATTTCTCTTTCTCTCTTTTTTCTCTCTCCTGTCTCTGTAAATCTTCCTTCAAATATAAAAGAATAATTCTGGGCCAAGCAGCGTGGCCTAGCGGCTTAAGTCCTCACCTTGAACATGATGGGATCCCATATGGGCGCCGGTTCTAATCCCAGCAGCTCCACTTCCCATCCAGCTCCCTGCTTGTGGCCTGGGAAAGCAGTCAAGGACGACCCAAAGCTTTGGGACCCTGAATCCATGTGGGATACGCGGAAGAAGCTCCTGGATCCTGGCTTCGGATCAGCATAGCATCGGCCGTTGCGGTCACTTGGGGAGTGAATCATCAGATGGAAGATCTTCCTCTCTGTCTCTCCTCCTCTCTGTATATCTGACTTTGTAATACAAAATAAATAAATCTTAAAAAAAGAAAGACAGAAAACTGTGCACAAATAAGCCAACTTCCTTTCCCATCTTGTGCCGAAAAGGTGGCAATGTTCTAGAAGCTCTTATTTGATTACATGGAAATATACACGCTTATTTGTGGAATCATCTGTGGTCTGACTCCATATTTTCCTTCATAAAGATTTTCCAGCACGTGGAGAAACACTATGTGGGGAAATTTCAGCTCACTGCTTGCCCTGCCCTTCTCTATTTTTCTTCCTCCATAAACGTCTGTATTGAAAGAACAAGAATCTGCATTTCTTTGAATGCCATTTAACAGAAAAATACTGAACCCTCCTATTTCAAAAGGGGTGTTGGCAGGCAAAGGAGTTGCACCCAGGGCTGACCTTAAACCCCTGAGTGATATCCCATTCTTTGTGATACATTCCTTTCCCATAGGGCTCAAACACTTACCTGGAGCGGCCCAGGTAGGAAGTTTTAGCATCTTTCATCACTATACTGATTCATCTGCTAATGGCCTAATTCAGTGGATGCTCGCAGTTCCATATTATGTGGTTTTTAGTTTGGTTTTACATGGTATCTCCTCTTGACAAATCTCTTCTTCGGTGGTCCAGGCTAACCCTCCATCTGTAAGTGGGTAGGCCGCCATATGGGTGCCGGTTGAAGTCCCACCTGCTCCACTTCCCATCTAGCTCCCTCATGGTGTATCTGCAAAGCAGTGGAAAAAGGCCCAAGTGGGAGACTGGGAAGAAGCCCCTTACTTCGGACCAGCCCAGGTCTGGCCCTTGTGGCCATCTGGAGCGTGAACGAAGATCTCTGTAACTCAGCGTTTCAAACAGAAAAAAAAATAAATAAAATTTATAAATACACTTAAAAGCAAAAAGGGTGAGGTGGCAATGCACAGCACGCTGGTCAGCTCCCCTCCGCGCGCCCGCGCCCGCGCCTGGCCTGGCGCACGCGCACTCGCAGCCCGAGTCACGCGTCCCGGAGAGGGCGGGACTCCGCCGCGCGCACCGGAGGGGGCGGAGCCTGGCTTGCGCACCGCCCCGCTATATCTGCGCTTGCGCAGCGCCACTGCGTGTCGTAGGGGGGGGCCCGTCGGGACGGAAGAGACAAGATGGCGCTACGGACGATGCGGGGGATCGTGAACGGGGCCGCGACCGAGCTCCCCATGCCCACCGGCGGGCCGGCGGCGGGGGCGCGGGAGCAGGCACTGGCGATCACCCGGAACTACCTCTCTCAGCCCCGCCTCAGTGAGTACCGATGAGCGAGACGCGCCCCGCCTCTGCGCCCACCCCAGCCCTGGGCTGCCTGCCGCTCACCTGCTCTGGCTGCGGGTGGGGGTCCCTTTGGGGAACTTCCCTCCAGACCCCCTACACCCCAGCACACACACACAGATCTCAACCCTTGATAGGTTTTAGTGTCCCTGGCTATGTCGTGACTCGGTGGGCCGCGGGCAGGCGCCTCCTCCCGGGTGGGGACTCGGGGTCGCCTCTCCGCGCTCCGCGCCCCCCAGGCAGAGCGCACGGAGTACCTGCCTCTGTGGACCTCTGTCCACTGCCCCTACAAGGACGGGGGGCGTCTGGGGCGCAGCCTCGCCTGTCTTCACTCCCCGCCCCGGGAAGGACCGACCAGCCGTCACCCTCCCCCGCTCTGCGCGCCCGGTGCACCTGCTTTCCAGGGTCCCCACCCTCCGCCCCCTGGGTTTTCGGGGAGTCTGGGGGCGCACCCACCCCACACCGCGGAGGCTGCCTGTCTGTGGGACGCCTGGGACACCCGAGACACGGGCGGCCGGCCGGGAAGCCCTCTCGGTTTACAGGTAGGGTGCCGGGAGCGGTGGTCCTCGCCGTCTCCAGTCACCTAGACCTGGAAGTCAGTTTTCTTACTTCCTAGGCTTTTTTAGTTTTTTTTTCCACCTGCTATCCTCTGTGCATTAACTGACCCGACTCGTTAACTAAACTAGGGGTGGGGTACGTGGTTCTCCGGGACGCCCCCCTGCACGTACACCCCATGTGTGTAGCGTGCGCACAGGTGCGTCGGCCGGTGCCAAGTGGCCTCGTGGCCGTGGTTGCCCACCCGCCGGCCGGCCAGCAGCTCAGCAGTGCTGACCGGAGTGGTTTGCGTCTGCTCAGAGAATTCAGTGGGGAGCATCAGGCGTTGGCCGTGGAAATGTAGACTTGTGTTTACCAGCGGAGCCAGTACCTAGTGTCTCCCCCAAGGGAGGGGGGCCTGCCTTTGGCAGCACTGGTCTCTGGGCGTTTCAGACGGCAGGGCCTTTGGCACGGGCCTTCCCCCAGCCTGACTAATCCCCTCCTGAGCTGTCCGTGGTGGGTCATGTGATGGAGCTGCAGCGGAGAAAGGAGGAGAATGTTCCACACTGGATTGCCTAGAGGTGCCCTTCCCGCTGGAAATCCAGTTAGTCCCCCTGTGGCGGGTTGGGTGGGGGAGTGTGGGAAGATAACTCAGGAGACTGACAGGTATGCGGCGTTGTTGTGTAAACCCTGGCAGTAAGAATCCCAGGTTCTGTTAGAGGTTGGGTGTGTCAGCCTTGCTCAGCAGAGTCAGTCAGTGGTACTTGCAGAGAAAGATCTGGCGTCTGATGTCCGTGTCCCTGTGATGTTCAGTGCCTGCCTGGATCAGTGGCTGTTTCAGAACTGGTACTGCCTGATGGAGGTTGTAAGCCCGCATCAGACAGGAGTGTGGGTCCTGCCTGTGGGCCTTTCCAGGCTGGGTTTCTCCTGACCAGTGTAAACACAGTGACACGTGAGCTCCAGGGCCCGCAGAGCTGTGCTGAGCACGGTGCCTAGCCAGCAGAAGGCTTTGAGCATCATGCAGCTTGCCTCTCAGTGATGGGCTTGGTGCACACGTGGGCTCTGACAAGTTTATTAGTGGCATCAGACTTTATCCACTGAGGGTCATATGGGATAAGGGAGGAGGTATTGAGCTTATCAACAAAACCCTTCAACAGTTTCTGTACTTTGGTTTGGAACTCCTTTTGTAGATTCCACCAAGTGTTCTCATTCACATGCTGTCCACTCAGCTGTTCTCATACAGATGGTATCCAGTCAGTCACACAAAAGGTGTCCATTCGGTTGTTATCATACAGATATTATCCAGTCAGTCATAATCCTGTGCTCACTGACCTTCTAGGGTCACAGTGTCCGCCTACACCTCTCTGCCTCATTCTGGGAGCTCAGTGGACAGGGTCTCAACCCGGAGTCAGTCAGGGCTCGGCCCGGAAGCTGCTGTCTGGGGTGCCCACAACTACGTCCCAGGGCCTGCTGTCCATCCTAGCTGCCCGCCGATGGACAGCGTGGGTGGCAGTGATGGCTCAGGAACTTGGGTCCCTGCCACCCAAACGGGACAGAGCTCTGGGCAGCTCACTTGGGCCTGGCCCAGCCCTAGCTGTTGTGGCCATTTGGGGAGTGAACCAGCAGAAGGTGGGAGATTCATTCTGTCTCTTGATTTTTCCATGAATACATACACTTATAGAAAGTGAATTCTATTACACTAGTAGTTATATTACTAGTAACAAAGTGCATTTTAGGGGCCTGGCGGCATGGCCTAGTGCCTAAAGTCCTCACCTTGAACGCACCAGGATCCCATATGGGCGCCGGTTCTAATCCCAGCAGCTCCACTTCCATCCAGCTCCCTGCTTGTGGCCTGGGAAAGCAGTTGAGGACGGCCCAAAGCTTTGGGCATAGCATCAGCCGTTGCGCTCACTTGGGGAGTGAATCATCGGATGGAAGATCTTCCTCTCTATCGCTCCTCCTCTCTGTATATCTGACTTTCCAATAAATAATGAAAAAATAAATCTTAAAAAGAAAAAAGAAGTGCATTTCAGTAACAAGTCTTATTCCAGTCCGCACTTTTAAGTGGTTCTGAATAAATATTAACCTCTGAAATTTTGTAACTGAGGCCGGAGGCCGCTGTCCAAGGTGAGGTGTAATTAGCCATTTAATGGTGTTTGAGTGAGGGAATGGGGTCACAGTGGCAGTTCCTGCGCTTCAAGGTTGTAGAACTGTTGACCAGAGGTGGAAAGGCAAACCTGAACTGTGGAGTCTGGAGTGCTGTAGTAGGATTTTCAAGGTTCTAGAACACTCAAAGCTTGAGCACGGCTCAGTCGTGGACACTGAGCCTGTGGATGCTGAAGGTTTGGGATGTGCTGTGTCTGGAGACCCCGTGCGTTTCTCGGTGTTGGGGAGGAGCTCAGGGCTCCGGGCTTGCCCTGCTTCTGCAGCTGCCGCTCGAGGTGCGAGGCCCACTCTTGCACAATAGACCATGACTCTCTAAGGCGGAGCCCGTGAGACTCTTTATTGGGCAACAGCTGTTGAAATCTCCCTTTGAGTATGTCCCAGTCATTGAGGAGGGCCGAGTCTCTTACCCTACCAAGAGAACTAAAGTAAGTGCCCCTTAACACTGTCGTAAAAGTTAGTAAATGTTTATCGTCTGCTTGATTGTGAGACTTGGGTGGTAAAGCACATTAACTGTGAAATACAACCGTGTGTCTTCTGGGTTGTCAGAAGTTCTGATCTTCCCTTGGGCCTCTCTGTTCTTGTTCATTTGGATGTGTTTGAGAAAAGTGTGGTCAGTATTTTTGACAAGCAGAGATGCTTGTGTCACTTGTGAGTGGTTTTGGCTGCTCTGAAGAGTAGCGTACTGTCTTGAGCACCAGCCTGGAAGCGCTCTCTGCTTTGGACTGGGAACCGGGTGGAGAGGAAAGCCGCCTAGAGGCTGCCGTGGAAGGGCAGGAGCTAATAGACAATGCTCCACAGCAGCTTCTCTGCGCTCTTCTTAGCAAGTTGTTTATCGCTCTGGAAAAGAGTTATAGCTTGTACAAGCTGGTTTGGGAGATCTTCCATCTGTTGGTTCACTCCCCAAGTGGCTGCAACAGCTAGGACTGGGCCAGAGCCAGGAGTTCAGTCCAGTTCTCTACATGGGTAGCAGGGGTCCAGGCACTTGGGCCGCCTTCTTTCCCTGGCCGCTAGCCGGGAGCTGGATCAGAAGTGGAGCAGCCGGGATGCAGACTGGTGCCCCTGGGGGATGCCAGTGTCCCAGTCATTGTCTGTATACCACAACCGTGGCTCCATGAACTGCTTTCTGGTCACTCTTGGCCTGATACTTACAGGGTGTGAGCTCCTTATTCTGAAATTATATGGGAGACTGAGGTGAGAAATGTTACAGGATCATAGAGTACCAACCTCAGAGTTAGAGAAAACAACAGTTAGCAGCCGGGTTCCCGACATGTGCTAACAGACTTCACTGTGATGAAATCTAGAATTAGCGTGTGTGGGTTAGTTTTGCCTACCTTGCAGTGTTTCTTGGGGATCAGTTAACCCTTCTGTAGGTGGTCTGTAAAGGTGTGAAGCAAAATGCAGATAAAAAGTTGGGTGATGTTTTTGCTTAGTTTGGATTAGAACATTTATTTGCTTCATTTTTATGTGTTAATTTGTTACCTTTGAAATGCAGAATTGGGGGAGGAGCAGGGCAGAGAGATCTTGCATCTGTTGCTTCTCTCTCCAAATGGCATCAACAGCTAGAGCTGAGCCAGGCCAGAGCCAGCAGCCTGAGACTCCATCCAGGTCTCCCACACTGGCGCAAGGGCCTAAGGACAGGGCTGTCCTCTGCTGCTTTTCCAGGCACATTAGCAGGGAGCTGGATTAGAAGTGGAGCAGCTGGACCTGGTGCAGTGACCCAATGGCTAAATCCTCACCTTTTAGAAGCACCAGAATCTCATGTGGGCACTGGTTTATGTCCCAGCTGCTCCACTTCTCTGGGAAAACAGTCAAGGACAGTCCAAAGCCTTGGGAGACCTGGAAGAAGCTCCTGCTTCCTGCCTTTGGATCAGCTTAGCTCTGGCCACTGCAGCCATTTGGGGAGAAAACCAGCAGTCGAAATATCTTTGTATCTCTTCTTGCCTCCATAAATCTGACCTATCTTTCTAATAATTTTTTTAAGTGTTATCTGCTTATAAAAAGAAGTGGAGCAGCCAGGGCTAGAACCAAAGCTCGTATGGAGTGCCTAAGCTGTCACCTGCTGTACTACAACCCCCCCTGTCATCTTACTTGAAACAAGCATGTTTGATCCTAGCTTCTATGGGAAGCATCTCCACCTAACACTGCTCTTTTCAACTCTATTCCACTGGTTAGTCCACTTTCAGTTAAAAACTCATGAAGTTACTTGGAGTGGGTGTTGCTGTGGAATTTGTGCAAATCCAAGAGTGTGGCATCCCATCCACGCACGCAGAACAGGAGCGGTTAGTTAAGAATCAGGCTGCAGCGGAGTTAAGCAGCAAGCGACTCAGACCTAAGCGTAGGTTAAGATTCTTGGGCGGGTTAGTTAATTCTCCTGAGAAGAGCATTTTCTGAAAGCCAGAAAAGCAGCAGTTTAGCTCAAGTCTTGTCTAGCAGTAAGGTGAGCATTGCATTGCCGACGGGCGCCGCCGGCCGAGTGGCCTGTCGCAGCTGCCCAGGCGTCCACCGGGCTCCTGCACCTGTTGTGGGCATTGACTTTGCTGAAGAGGACTCTTCTGCAGAATCAGCTGGATGCAGTGCTTCCAGGAAGAGCGGCCAGTGTTTCACTTTCACCGTCATGCTTTTGACTTGTGACTCCTGGGCAGGCATGAACTTCCATTTTCAAAGTGCAATTCTGAAGACCAGCTGTTGTCTGGATTGGAAGTTCAAAGGGAAGAGGATTGTAAGAACCGGAAGGCCTTTACTGATGTCACATGCTAATGTCACATGCTGTCCGAGGCAGGCCCCTCCCTGCCCCCACCTGCATATGCCTCGAGAGTTTGAGAAGACGACCTGCGTTTTCAGAAAACATGTTCCTAAGTACCTCACTTATTACTTCCACGCAGTAAGTTTGGAAATTCAGTGGGGAAAAAAAAAAGAAATTTTAGAGTCTTTAGAATGAGAACAGTGGGGAATTTTTTTTAGAAGAGCAAGATGGTGTTTTTCTAATGGTGCTCAGAGATTTTAAAAACAGTGAGGAGAGCATTTTTTGTAAAAGTGGCAGGAAATACCATAGGTAGGGGTCTCATTCAGCCAGCTTATCTTTTAAGCTCGCAGCTGGCCTGTCCTCTCAGGACTTTGGAAAAGAAAGCTGGTGCATTCCAGGTGACCTACTTGGGCCGCTCCCTGATACTGCGCCTGGCTGCTGGCACTAGAATCCTGCAGCCCCTCGGGTGACAGGTTGGTGATTCAGTGGCTTCCTGGTTCCTGGGAGTATCCAAATGTGCTAGGCTCATTCTGATGCTCATCAGGCAGGTGCAAAATGCCCAACTGACTGGCAACTTGCTGTGTTTATCAGCTGCTCTGCAGCGCTGGATGAATGTGATGACTCGTGAGGCTTCTGTTGGGACACTCACTGTCCTGTTCCCATGGTTGAGTGGTGTCTGATTCCTTGCTGAATTGAGGAATTGCAGGTGAATCCTTTGTTCGAGGCTGGTGGAAAATGTCTCTCCAACCAGACTTCCAAGTTTTTTTTTTTTTTTTTTTAAAGGACACCTGTCTTATCTGGTATCTGGCCTTTCCTAGGCCCACTCCCTCCTTCCCAAAGCCTGGAGTATTTATGGCACCACATACCCAGAGGGCTGTATTTTCTTAGATCCCCTTTAGGAGTTTGTCCCTGGTGCTTTAGGCTCTTCAGACCAGACCCTTGCCCTTTGCCCTGCTCTGCTCTGCTCTGCTCAGCTGGATGCCTCAGTGGGCTATAGTGGCATCTTACTGGGGCTCCCCGGAGCGCTCAGTGCCTAGTGGGCTGTGTGGTGTCTGGCTGGGACTCTGCCTTGCTCAGAGCCCTGCCTCCTCACTTTGCCCACGGGAAGTGGGGCATGTCCCTGTGTGCCTTATGTTTGTCAGGTGCGGAGAGCTGTGACCCCAGTGACCCCGAGTAAGAATTCACAACACTATTGTGGTTGTGTGTGCCGCATTGTAAGTTGTTCAAATACGAGCTTGTCGTACCAGTTCCATTCTTAGTTTTTATAGATATTTGAGCTCCATGCTATAATGGGTGCGATAAAGTGGAAAAAAGGGTCTGATGACACTTGTACCGGAGATCGGATTTCCATGTTGTAGCGCAAGAAAAAATTGGAATGTGAGACTGAGAGTGGGCGCAAGCACACCAGCCGAGTGTGATGAAGGCACTGCAGCTGACTGCCCCCCGCCCCCGGTCTCCCCAAGCTGAGAGCCCCCCGGGATTCAGGCCAGGGTGCTTTATGGCCATACTCCTGGGCCACTGTTTGACCTCCAGACACCCTTTCCAGGATTTTGCCGGGGGTGGAATTCCTGAAATTCCTCCCAGAACTTCTTCTGGGCCTGATAGACTCCTTGGTGCCGGTGGGAGAGATTCCCCCAGAAGGTTATGGTACAAGGACAAGGCTTTGGATGTGCAAGTGCGGGGCAGCTCTCGCTGGCTGGCTTCTGTGTTTCTCTCTTCATTCAACCACACAACCAATTCCCATTAACTCCCGCCAAGCTTACACACTTAGGCTCAGGCCTGCCCAGCCACCCTGACAACCCTGGCAAGGTAACGTGGGCCTTGGTGCTGTGCGACTAAAGCTGACCCTGTGTGTTTCTCCGTAGCGTACAAGACCGTGTCCGGCGTCAATGGCCCGCTGGTGATCTTGGACCATGTCAAGGTAATGCTGCTGTCTGCTGCGATCTGGCTGCCATGGCGTTCTCCACGTGCCCTTAAGTCCCACGCAGCACCCTGCCTGTTTGGACATCAGTGCTACAGAGGGGTCGGGAATTTCGGACCCAAACTCAGAAGACTGGATTCTGCCACCCCGTCGACTCTGGGTGGCATGTGGGCTTGTGTTCCTGCCGATTAGAAGGGAACAAAAACCGATACTCCTTTACAGGTTTATTAGGGGGGAAAAAAACCAGCAAAAATACTCATGAAGGTATCACCTGTGGGACACTGTAGACCCGTGGTGAATTAAGGTACATGTCAGAGAATGCCATGTTTAATGGTGTTTGGCTCATCGTCTAGACTTTACGCTCATGAGACCATATCTGATACAGTCGCAGCTCGCATCCCCTTAGAAAGCATGGCGCAGAATATAGTTGATAACTGGATACTCTGCTAAGCCTCCCACCTCAGTTCTGTGATCCGATTATTTGCTGGGAAGGAGATGTGCATAGTATGCTGTCTAGAACGGTGATTCTCCGTGGTTGTTGAGTGGGCCGGGAGAAACACGCAGTACTGGTTTGATAAAGTGTAATGAAGTGTGTGTATCTGACGTGTGACCCCTGTGGAAGCAAATTAAATTAAGAAAGATTTTATATAGAAAAGGCAAGGTAACCTTTCTCTCCAGCTTTGTCACCAAGATAATGTTTTTTTGTATTAGCAAAGTCCTCTACAAATCAATCTTAGCTGAGCTTAGCAAACCTCCCTGCTGGCTGCCATTCCCCACTGCTCTGCAGGCGGCTCAGAGCCTCCGGCTGTGATGGTGTGTCAACATTTGTGAAAGAAGAGAGCCCAAGCTCTTATCTTTTGAGGGAAAATAGCAAGCTATATTTATTTCTTTGCCTTCTATTCTCTTCTCCTCTCGCTATATATATATCTATATTTAAGATTTATTTATGTTTAGTGGAAAGGCAGATTTACAGAGAGGAGAGACAGAAAGATCTTCCATCCATTGGTTTACTCCCTAATGGCTATAACTGAGCTTATCTGGAGCCAGAAGCTTCTTCCGGGTCTCCCATATGGTTACAGGGTTCCAAGTCTTTGGACCATCCCCTACAGCTTTCCCAGGCCACAAACAGGAAGCTGGATGGGAAGTGGAGCAGCTAGGACACAAACCAGCAGCAGCCATATAGGATGTGACACTTGGAGGTGGAGGATTAGCCAGTTGAGTCAACACACCGGCCCTTTTTCTCTCCTTATATCCTGTTGTTGTTGTTGTTGTTGTTGTTGTTGTTGTTGTTGTTGTTTTAAGATTTGTTTTTATTGGAAAGGCAGATATGCAGAGAGGAGAGACAGAGAGGAAGATCTTCCGTCGAATGATTCACTCCCCAAGTGGCCGCAACGGCCGGAGCTGAGCCAATCTGAAGCCACGTCTCTCTTCCAGGTCCCCCACGGGGGTACAGGGTCACAAAGCTTTGGGCTGTCCTTGACTGCTTTCTCAGGCCACAGGCAGGGAGCTGGATGGGAAGCGGGGCCGCTTGGATTAGAACCAGCACCCATATGGGATCCCAGCACCATGCTAGGCAAAGACTTTAGCTGCTAGGCCACGGCGCCGGGCCCTCTCCGTATGTCCTGTTAGAGAACATTGTTTACTCATTTCTGAATAAATGCAGAATTTCCTACATGAGTGTGTTGAGAAACGGCCTCCATGACACTCGAGTTTGTGTTGTTCATGTCCTAGCTGCATCATAAGGTGTACCAGACAGCGAGGCAGCCCTGCAGGAGCTGCAGCTGCAGTATGCGCACGCGTGTCAGTCGGTAACCAGACACGCCTGGAAAACTAGTCAGGAGGGGGCGGCGCTATGGCTCAGCCTCTTGGGACACTGCCTCTGCTTGGCGTGCTGGTTTGGTCCTGGTTCCCCTGCTTCTCATCTGGTTTCCTGTTACTGGGTACCCATCGACACCAGATGGCCCAAGTGCTTGGGTTCTTGCCACTCGTGTGGGAGACTCAGATGGGCACATGAAGAGCGAGTAGATGTGGTGGAAGGTCTCTGTGTCACTCTGCCTTTCAAGGAAAGAATTAAAAAGAATGGTGTAAGAGCTACAGCCCTGGAGTTGAATCCCCGCTGGCTGTAGCTCTAGGGGAGAAGAGGCGGGCCCCTCCTGTTAAGTGGTCTCATACCCTGGGGCTCAGGGGTGGTTTTTCTGTTGTGTCTTTGGTTTTGCTTTGAACTGACAGTCACACAGAGGACCAGGGAGCCGATCAAGTTCCAGCGGCCTCAGGACTGAAAGGGAGAGTGCTGGGGTGCGCAGTTCAGGAGGCTGGCCGGGAAGCTGCCCCTGGGCAGTGTCAGCCATGAAGGGAAGGTAGCTGCTTTCACTTCCCAGTGCAGAGCCCAAAGCCCAGAGTAAAATACATTAGCAAAAATGACAAAATTATGACCGAATGGTTTGTCCCAGTGAGCCAGAGGTGATTTGGTAGAGCAAAGCATATCGGTATAACAGCACATTGCAGATTAAACTAGAGAAAACCTGGGCTCATCCCAGTAAATACAGAAAGAAAAGAAAGCCTCTTTACAAAACAAGGACTAGAACAGACATTTAAGCCCTTCGCAGATGTCCACTGCACCTGTAGCACATGGCACGCAGAAAGGAGGTTAAAACACCCCTGTTTGTGTCCTCTGTCTTCCAAATGGGCAGCTACCTGCCGGGTGACCTGCAGGCTAACTCAGTAGACCCTGAGGTTACGGGCTGCATCCGTTAGATGCCCCTGTCTGGTGGTGGGTCCACAGATTGTCCATGCTCCTGTCTGTCGCAGGTGCCTGGCCTGGGGTGAGGACCTGGAGACCTGGCGCACAGGAGCCCTGCCCCCCACGGCTGCCCTCTGCATGGGCTGTGTTCTCAGACGCTGGCTGCGAAGCTCCTCTGGTCAGGGTTTTGTGGAAGCCCTGATTAAGTATCTGTGACTGTTGGCCAGCGGTACCGAGTCTGCTTTAGTCCCTCTTTCTGGAGGTCAGAACGGGGTCACAGTGCAGTGTCTTTACTCACCTGCTTGGTTCTCCTGGCAACCAGCACTCCTCCATCCTTCAAGATTTCCCATGTGTGAGGAAAGAATAAAAGATGCCACAGAAGTATAAACCCAGAAGGATTCAGGACAGAAACGTAAAAAATGAAGCAGAATCGTATTCATGTCAGTGGAGGACCATTCGAGAACCTCACGTGGGATGCTTCCCGCAGCAAGACACAAAAGGCACAGTGCTGAAGGACAGTCATTCGTGTTATTACATCGAAAGTCTTAAAACTTAAGATATCTTACAGTAAAAACACAAACAGCATCCTGGGGAAAGAGATTTACAAAAAGTTCATGCTGTGAGGGACGCAGCGCGTGGGGCATCCATCCACGCTGTGAGGAACGCAGCACGTGGGTACCGTGGGCAGCTCTCAAAGGGTTCAGCTGGGTTATCTTTGTCCTTTCCAGTTTCCCAGGTACGCTGAAATTGTCCACTTGACGTTACCAGACGGTACCAAGCGAAGCGGGCAAGTCCTAGAAGTTAGTGGCTCCAAAGCCGTGGTTCAGGTAAGTGCACTTTGGAACCCTGGCCAGCTGGACTGTTTACCTGGTACAGGCACCTGAGGAGTGCTGCTCCTAGAGCCGAGGGCCAGCGACAGCAGGGACACTTGTGCCACCAGTAACTGCTCCAGGGACATCATTTAAGACAGGCACATGGAGAGATGAATAAGTTTACTGATGATAGAACCAAAACAGTGTTGAATCTAAATACTCCAGAGCTGGGATGGGCAGGACGTGTCTCAGAGCACCTGACAGGAACTGTTGGTAGGCTCGGTGGGACCGCCTGACTCCTCCAATGCCTTTTCCTTTCACGGCCGTGTAATAAAAAAGCAAAGGACATCCTTGGGAGGCTTGTCCAGGTCAGCCTGCAGTCCTGGACCTTGCTGTCTGATGGCAGTTCAACTCATGGCCATGGACATTTTTTTGTTCATTATATTAAAAGCAGGACGTGTGAGTTGTAGCGGATAAAGGCTGTGTAAGGGCCCTCACCTCGGAGCGCTCTCTCCTCGTAGGTGTTTGAAGGGACGTCAGGTATCGATGCCAAGAAGACGTCCTGCGAGTTCACCGGGGACATCCTGCGAACGCCCGTGTCCGAGGATATGCTCGGTGAGTGGGGCTGTTGGCCTGCACAGAATCCACAGCGGGATGGCTGTGGGAATGTCCAGCTGCTGGACCGTCTCGTGCTGTCCCACAGGTCGCGTGTTCAATGGATCGGGCAAGCCCATCGACAGGGGCCCTGTGGTCCTGGCTGAAGACTTCCTGGACATCATGGGTGAGACGGGAGAGTGTGGGGAAAACAGCCCCGATCCGTCCAGTATGTAGCAGCCAGACAGTGATGCCCGTAGTATCACTTCAAGTAGGAAGCCGACGCTCGCTGTAGATGGCTCCTCAGTTAGAGGATGCTTAGTATGTTCGTGTCTTCCTGCAGACTGTCTTAACATTTGGTGTAGCCTTTCACGATTGTACAATGTCACTGGAGTAGGTCAGAATGTGCTGAGCCCTGGCTTGTTTGGGCTTCTTACGTGCCGTCCTTTCATTTTACCCCAGTTCCACTGCTGCTTGCTTTGTGAGACTAGAAAGAACTGAAGAGAAAGAGGAAAAAAAAAATCTCCAGTTGCACCTTTTTAAAATAACCAATATTTTAAGAATAGAGGAAAGTGCTGTGTGCAGATCTGATCTTCCGATTTGATTTTGCTTCTGCTTCCCTTATTGGCATTGGCGTCATCAGGCCAGCCCATCAACCCTCAGTGTCGAATCTACCCCGAGGAGATGATCCAGACGGGCATCTCGGCCATCGATGGCATGAACAGCATCGCCAGGGGCCAGAAGATCCCCATCTTCTCGGCCGCCGGGCTGCCACACAATGAGGTGAGCACTGGGGTCGTTGTGTGGCATGTGAGAGGGAGACCGCCCCTGCATGGTGGGTGCCTGCGCCCAGTGCGGAGTGCACCTGCGTCACGGTGGGTGCCTGTGCCCGGTGCGGAGTGCACCTGTGTGAGCTGCTTAAACTGGCTCTCCATCCGTCGCCATCCTCTTCCCTGCCTTTGCTCATCTCTGGACAAAGCACAAGACGGCTGTACCAGGGAGTGCCCATTAAACGCTGGAGGACAATTCCAGACAGTTCTGCTGTTGCAGGAATGTGTCTCTGGATTTCAACACATTTCTTTTCCATTCCCCGTCAGATTGCAGCTCAGATCTGTCGCCAGGCTGGTTTGGTAAAGAAATCCAAAGACGTTGTGGATTACAGTGAGGAGAACTTCGCCATTGTCTTTGCTGCCATGGGGGTAAGTGTTTCTGATTTTCGAATGGTTTTTGTTTTTGTTTCCTGCTCCAGTACGCCACAGACGTGTTTTAGAGCAGCGTGGTAAGTAACGCGTGTGCAGTTGAGTTGATCGCTAGGTAGACAAGTTGTAGCCTGGCGTTTGGGCAGACGAAGGATGGAAGCCAGCACTTGACAGAAACTTGAGAGTAATCCTCTGTGCGCCCAAAGCAGGCACTGTGAAGACACTGGGTGTGTGAGGCGCTCCGGAAGGAGCCAGATCCCGCAGCCTGGCCTGCGTGCGGCCTGCACGCGGGGCAACTGTCGGCATCGTTGCTGTTTAGGTAAACATGGAAACGGCCCGGTTCTTCAAGTCTGACTTTGAAGAAAATGGCTCCATGGACAATGTCTGCCTCTTTCTGAACTTGGCTAATGACCCGACGTAAGTAAACGGAGCTGTTACCTTCCTGCCTGCCTGGACTCGGGGTCAGGAGGGTGTGTGAGGGAGGTGAGCGACGAGGTGTGAGCTCGGAGGGCGCAGGGCTGCGTGACGGGGGGTTCAGTCCAGCCCTGCTGCTTAGGGCTGGTTTGGCTGTGAGCGAGTTACTGAGCTCCTAGTGCCCCTAAACCGTGACAAATAGCCCTCCTCTCACCGAGGTGTTGCACAGATTCAGTGCGGTCACACTGTGTGCCAGGCACACAGTCAGCACTTGGTACATGTATGTTTGTTTGTTTGTTTGTTTGTTTTCCCCTCTACCTGAGAAGCCTCGTGTCTGTTTCCATCCGTTTGTCCTGCCTTCTCTCCCAGACCGATCACCTGGGAGACGCTACAGCTCTGAGAAATTTGGAAAATGACATCCCTCGTTGGCCATGGGCACAGGGGGCTTGAGTCCCTTAAGAAAATGGGATCAAAAACGAAAAGAAAGTGGGGTTGAGTTTGCATAAAGCAGAAGCACATCCTCTTGGGTTCTTGCATTCCTGCCTCGATGGCTCGTAGTACCTGATGCCCTGTAAAGGCTGCATCCATGGTTACAAAGGAGGAAGAAAGCTGCACGTACTCAGCACAAGTGCAGTTTCATTTCTCCTCACTCAGTCCCTAACTGCTTGGATCTGTAGACGCAGGACTTACTGGGTATCCAGAAGCAGGCTAGCTTAGTAGTGCTAGCTGACTGGTACCATGTAAACATACGACTGTCTTGAGACGTCTTAGAGCAGTCAGGGGTCACTCCCTCCACGCGTGTCACACCTGAAAAGGGGAGCGGCCCTCACCCCAGGGCTGGAGCATTGCTTGCCCTTGAGTGTGAGTGACCGAGACCTTGGCCTTCCCTTTCAGCATCGAGCGGATCATCACGCCTCGCCTGGCTCTGACCACCGCAGAGTTCCTCGCGTACCAGTGTGAGAAGCACGTGCTGGTCATCCTGACAGACATGAGCTCCTACGCCGAAGCGCTCCGAGAGGTAATGCCCACCGGGCTCGTTTCCCTGGGCAGAAGGGGGTCATCGTAAGGGCCAGTTCCTTGGGAAGATGTTTCTTGCTGTTAATCATTTGTTTCGGCTCTTTGTTCATGGCATTAGTAGAATGTCAGAGAGGAAAGTACACCTTGTTTCCCAGCTGTCAGCTTGGAAAGGGCGGGATTTCAGGTACCACCCCGTCGCTGTGCCCTCGGTGTGGGGCAGTGGGTCAAGCTGCACGGGAGATTTCAGTGACTGACTGACTGACTTGCTCATTGATGAAAGAAGGACACACATTCCTCTCCTCTGATGTTAGCTCTTATTAGGAGAGGCAGACAATGGGCTTGTTAATCCTCTGCACAAAAAGTCATTCACCTTTGTCACATCCTGGCTTCCACCTTGCACAGGTGCAGTAGGCGCCCCAGGTCAGGGGGCATGCTTACAAGTTGGTTGAGAAGGTAGGGGAGTGCGGACCTGGCAGGAGGGCATCTCCCAGCACTGAAAGTGTCCCAGCTGATGCGGGCTCCTGCTGTCACCAGGCCAGCCCTGGGCCCACAGCCCCGTGTGAGGTGACAGGCTGTGGTTCGGTGTTCCCTTGGGCCCCGTGACAGGCCGTTACTTTTAGAAGATCCAGTAAGAAGTGGATTCAGCACAGCCTGACCTGCCATTCCGACGGTCGTAAGGGTGCAGTTCGCGGTGTGCGTACAGGCCGCAAAGGTGCTGGTGGCCTCTCCCTCTTTCGGGATCACCTCAGGACTCGTTTCTGTGACTGCCTAGTTGCACAGGAGGAAATTCCTCTATGAACCAAGATCTTCCATCAATTTTAAAGTTCGCTTCCTTTGATTCAAAAAGTCACAAGCAGGTTTTCATCTAGCAGCTGCTTGAAGCCTTAGGGCCCAGCGAGGAGTGCACTTCTACCCGCTGACGACAGTTTGGTTACTGGCGACTTTGACCTGTTGTTGCTGAGACATTTGTCTGAGTCGGCTGTTACAGAGAGGATTAGGAATGAGCGGGATGAGGTTCCCTTCCGACACGCCTGCAGCCAGGCCTGCCTGTGCGCGTCCTGTGTGAGTGACATGGCCGACCTTGGCTTACCTGCAGGTGTCTGCAGCCAGGGAGGAGGTTCCTGGCCGCCGCGGATTCCCGGGCTACATGTACACAGATTTAGCCACCATCTACGAGCGCGCAGGGCGGGTGGAAGGCCGGAACGGCTCCATCACCCAGATCCCCATCCTCACGATGCCCAATGACGGTAAGTCCCCAGTTCTGGGCGAGCGCCTGCCCCCAGCATGGAAACTCCTCCACGAGGCTGCGGAGCTGGTTGCAGCTTTGGCTGCATCTGCGAGGGAGCTTGTGGTCAGAAGTGAAGGCTGTTTGTATAATGAGGAGGGGACACTGTTCATGGCAGGATGCCTCGTGCAGTTCGTGGACTCACCTGAGCCCGGCCTCCAGGCAAAGGAAATGGTTAGATATGGTGGCCGTTAGCCACAACCAGCTGTACTTGAAGCGAATACACATGAAGTACGGTGTGGAATTGAGTTTTCGGTTTCGTTGGGCAGCGGTTCCCACTTCAGATGGCACGGATGCACAGGCTCTCCGGCCTCGAGTCCTGTCCTTGTGGGCGCTGCTGGAGCTAGGACAGACGGGCAGTGGGGGTGGGCGCACTCGCCACAGAGAGTGCAGGCCTGACGTGTGCGTTCCTCTGGCAGATATCACCCACCCCATCCCTGACTTGACCGGGTACATCACAGAAGGCCAGATCTACGTGGACAGACAGCTGCACAACCGACAGGTACTGCCCCGGGAGCCGGGCGGGAGACCGCCCCACGCCCCCCGGGAACCGCCTCCAGTCCTGCGGGAGAAGCACTGGGGTTAGCCTTGGACAGCATCCTTCTGAATTGTTCCAGAACACCTAGAAGATCATCATTGCTGTATATCGGAAATGATGGCACAGTACCGGGGTGAAGACATCCCTCTGCCATTTTGTGTCTTTAAAGATAGAATATGCCATCTCCAAGAACCATTTGGGGCATTCTGCCTTACGACAGTGCCCCCTGCTGGCCTTGTGAGCAGGACGGCACGTTGGGAAGTTTGCTCTCCGGCTCTGGCTTACCGACTCAGCCCTGAGCTGGGATGTCACACTCTCAGATTTGATTCCCACAAGAAATATCATGCCATGGAATGGTTCTTACTTGAACTCACCTGGGAGCAAGTGCTGCCAGTGCTGTGTGATTTCCGGATTGCTGGGGAGTGTCAGGTGCCTTTGTGCTGCCAGTGGAGCTCGGATTCCGCGCTTCAGTGCGGTGTTATCTCCATCCCGTTTCCTCAGATTTACCCGCCCATCAACGTGCTGCCTTCCTTGTCGCGGCTGATGAAGTCGGCCATCGGGGAAGGGATGACCAGGAAGGACCACGCCGACGTCTCCAACCAGCTGGTACGTGCCGCCTGCTCCTTGCTCTCCATCTTCTGCTCCCATTCAAGCAGGATTTTAATGTAGAATGGGTGGGGAATGTGTGTTCCTGGTTGAGAGCCAAGGCAGGCCTGATCTCGTAAGGAGAGCTGCTGCTAAGGTACAGGTAAGCTGCTGGAAGCCCGTGTTAAGCTGAGGTTACAGAGCGCTCCTAATGGCGGTCATAACGGTAGTGTGTTTCTCCAATACCCGCTCGCCTATCTTGTGAAACAGCAGAGCGCTGAAGGGCTCCCTTCACTCCACCTCCGGGTGGCTGAGGTCGGGCGAGGCTCTGCGCCAGGCTCGGCTAAGGCAGGCCTTCGGACCCTCAGGTGGACGTGGTAAACCTGCTTTAGTCACAAGAGTTTTCCTGGCTGGGTTTCTAAGATGCCCGTCCATAGCTTAACCATGAATGCCAGTCATTACTCAACCGTGAATGCTGTATTCCTCGGAAGCTCGTGAGGGAGCGTGTGTTTTGTAGGATGTTCAGTGTTGTGGGTGGCTGGCCTGAAGACTTCTGCGTGGTGAGGGCGTTTCCCATGCACTCCTGGTCCTCTCGCGTGACGTCTGTGTGTCCCCCACCACGCCCCGCAGAGCACGCCTCTGTGGAGCAGGCACCTCGTAGCGGGTGTGCGGCTCTCGCGTGTGGCCACACCTCCGCCTCTCCCTTTAGTACGCGTGCTACGCCATTGGGAAGGATGTACAAGCCATGAAAGCCGTGGTTGGAGAAGAGGCGCTCACCTCAGACGACCTGCTGTACCTGGAGTTCCTGCAGAAGTTTGAGAAGAACTTTATTTCTCAGGGTAAGTGGCGCCCTGTGTCCTTAACTGCGGTGGCCGCCCCGGGCACGCTGGCAAGCTTCTTCTCCAGGCTGACTGCACTGTTCCTGCGTGCCCTCTCCTGGGCCAGCTGGCTGCTTCCCTCCCCTGCGGCACACGCCGGGACCCCCTCCGCTTGAAAATCTACTTACTCAGCTGCTGTCTTATTTTCTTCATCCTCGCACGTACACTTAAAAGGTAGAGCATCAGAGAGAGACAGGTAGAAATCTTCCATCCACTGGTTCCCTTCCCACATGTCCACTGCACCCAGTACTGAGCCAAGCCAGTGCAGGAGCTGGGCGCTCCGCCCACGTCTCCCCGTTTGTGCCCACCCACCTCTGCTTTCCCAGGTGCGTTAGCAGAGAGCCAGGTAAGAAATGGAGGGGCTGGGATTTGAAGTGGTGCCCATAAGGGATGCCAGCGTCACCAGCAGCAGCTCGACATGCTGTGCCACTGCCCCCTGCGCAGCCCTGCTGGCGGCTGACGCCCTAGCCTGTCAGCAGCCGTCTCCCTCACTGCTGGGAGGTTGTCACTTCATGTTTCCCTGCCCCTTGATTACTGACATTCCGAAAGCTCAGTGTAGCTTGTTCCTCGTTCCTGCCCTGGCCTTGGCGTGTCAGTGAGTGTGGATTCCGGGCTGTTACACAATCCGTAGTTTCTCCAGTCCACCCACGGCTCTGGCTGGCTTCGGGAGATCCCTGTTCTGGGGGGACTGCTTCTCACACTGCTGTCTGACCACAGCCCTGGCTCTGGCTTCTGCTCGGGCAGATGCTGCCCAGACACCTGAGCCCTGTCAGACCCCCACGGCCACCCACCTGTGTGCTCCGGGGGCGTCACCGACATCCCGGCGGCCAGGGCCTGAGGCCTGAGCGCCCCTCTGCCGTGCCGTGCCCCCGCACTGCCAGCCATCAAAGTTCCCAGCTGGAGACTCGAGCCTCTGCCGTGCCGTGCCCCCGCACTGCCAGCCATCAGAGTTCCCAGCTGGAGACTCGAGCCTCTGCCGTGCCGTGCCCCCGCACTGCCAGCCATCAGAGTTCCCAGCTGGAGACTCGAGCCTCCGTTGACTCACTCTCCATCCCTTCAAGGTCCCTACGAAAACCGCACCGTCTACGAGACGCTGGACATCGGCTGGCAGCTGCTCCGAATCTTCCCCAAGGAGATGCTCAAGAGGATTCCTCAGAGCACCCTGAGCGAGTTCTACCCCCGAGACTCGGCCAAGCACTAGCTGCCGCTCCGTCCCTGCCCGCCCCGTGTGGGCTTCTCGTGAAATACCGGTTCCGTTTCTGCATTCCTTCCACACTCCTCCTCCAGTCCCCCAGCTGGCTGTGGCAGGTCACGCCTTCCCGTGTCATTAAAGGTGACGTTTTGTGCTGGTGTTGCGATGTGATCAGCTGCTGCCAGGCCTTCAAGTCACCCACTTCCAGACCAGGGCGTGGGGGGCGCTCGGTGGAGCAGCCCCGTGGGGCCGGGGCAAGCTTTCCCCTGACGTGTTTGTGCACAGTGGTGTCTTTCCTTCATTACCCAGAGCATCCTCGTCCTGGGTTGTCGCTGTCTGAACCTGCAGTGTGTGAGGTCTCTGCACACACTGGGCCAGGAGCAGGTGCCCAGCATGGGCCGGGAGCTCTGTGCCCAGGACAGGCCGGGAGCAGCTCTGTGCCCAGCACTTTGGGCTGCTGGTGCTGTGAGTTTACGCACCTGCTCTCGGTGTGTGGTTCTGTAACTGTTGCTTGCTCTCCTCCTGGCGGCTTAACCTGCTTAGGAGGCGCGTGCCTGGGGTGACTCCCAGAGGCCCACAGCCCCTGCGCAGCTGCCCTGTCTGCAGATCCTTCCTGCCTGGGTTGCCCGCAGCACCGGCTGTCATACCATTAGGGTATCTGAATCCAAGTAAAGGACACAGCAAAGGAATAGCAAAGGCTGCCTCCCTTGAGCCCCTGACGTGCTGGCAGCGTGGGCCCTGGAAGCTGGAGGCAGGTAGGGGGAAGGCGCTCGGGTTCCTGGGTAGTGTAAACCCAGTCCAAGAGGAGTGGCCCCTGCAGAGCGCCCCGCAGCAGCCCCGCACGCTGGCCCTCCATCTGCCTCTTCGCAGCTTCTGAGTGTTCGTAGAGCCCTGCTCCTTCCTGCCCAGCCCCGAGCCCCCGCTCTGCACCTGCTGCTTGTCTGCCGTTGAGTCTCCGCTTCCCTTGTGGCTCAGGTGCTGTGGGACCTCCGTGCATTCCGTCTTCAAAGCTGTGTGAAGTCCTTCTCTTTTCTCTGAGGGGATCGGGGGAGGGCCAGCATGATTACCTGTTCCAGTGTAGAAAACGTGACATCGACTACAAAAGGACAATAAATGTTAAGTTAAATGAAATCCCCTGTAGTGCCTGTGTGTCCCACATGTCATTTGCGGCACTCGGGCACACCGGGCGTGGTGGACCCCAGCCCCGGGCCCAGGGACGTGACCAGCATCTCGGCGCGTTCTGCCTTCCAGGCAGGCAGCAGGTGCTGTGTGGGTTCAGATGCTCGCAGAACCTCCGCCCTGCTACACGTGAGGAAATTCAACATTCCTGTCTGTTGATATCCCCCCCCCACCCCCGCGCCGTTTTCCTCTTTTTTTATAGTGAAACCATTTTCTTAAGAATCTTGGTGCCAGTTAAACCACCTTAGTAAGGAACTCGTTTGAGGGACAGGCATCTCCCGGGCAGCTGGGAGACTGAGTCAGCGCTGCTGGCTCCTGGCGCTGCTCTGTGTCCAGGCTGTATCACTTCCCATCCAGCTCCCTGCTTGTGGCCTAGGAGAGCAGCAGAGAATGGCCCGAAGCCTTGGGACTCTACACCTGCATGAGACCCAGAGAAATCTCTTGACTCCTGGCTTTGGCTCAGCTCAGCTCCAGCCGTTGTGGCCACTTGGAGGATGAACCAGCAGAGGGAAGATCTTTCTGTCCCTTCTTCTCTCTATAAATTTGCCTTTCCAATAAAAATAATATATATTTTTAAATGTTTATTTTATTTATTTGAAAGAGAGAAGAGGGAGATCTTCCCGTTCACTGGCTTGTTCCTCAAATGGCCGAAATTCCCGACACTGGGCCAGGCCAAGTCCAGTAGTCAGGTCTCCTACGTGGGAGCCAGCGCCAGGCACCTGGTTCATCTTCCATTATGAGCAGGGAGCTGGATCGGAAGTGGAGCAGCCGGGCATGAACCGGTGCTCCAGCGGGATGCCCACATTGCAGGTGGCCATCTGGCTTGCTGCACCGTAGCACCGGCTCCTTGCTCTGCCCCTGTTCAGACAGAACCTCCTAAAGCTGGCATGCCTTCCTTCCGTAGACCAGGTACTGATGGGCGTCACATCAGGAGAAGATGTGTTTATAGACCGTGAACATACATATTCAGAAAACCATGAGCCACATGGTTTTATCTTGAGTGGTGTCCAAAAAAAAAGCACAGCTCATGGGACCAAAAATACTCTCAAAATACTTTTTGCTTGAGTATCTTAAACTACGACAAAGGGGAATCTGACCCTGCCTTGTAGTGCTTCAATGGTTTGTTTCTGTTTTGTTTGAAACACGGGAAGATCCTCCACCAGCCGGTCCTCTCCAAGCATACACACAACAGCCAGGACGGTGCCCAGCCAAAGCCAGGAGCTGGGAGCTTCCTCTGGGTCTCTCCCCCCAGGGGTGGCAGGGACCGGGTACTCAAGCCATCTGTGCCACCTCCTAAGAAGTGTTATCAACGTGAGGCTGGATCGAAAGGCTCTTGCTAAGAGAGAGAGAAAAAAAAAATGGCACCTGACGAGTGAGGAGAGAGACATGGCGAGGACCAGAGCCCTCATGGACTCAAGACAGGGGCCAGCCAGGGCAGCCATCCTACCGGCTCCAGAATCTCCCCTCCAGACAGGCTGTCCTTCCCTGGGGAGAGCCTGTGGGCACCCACGGCGCAGCAGTGTGCACGCCTCAGCATGCTCCGGCAGATCCTGGTCACCACCAGACCCAAGCCCCACCACTGCTCGGGGCCTGGCCACTGTGGACTGCTGGAGAATGAATGGATCTGGAAACACTTGTCCTGACCTCCTGTCCCAAAAGGACAGAGAAGGCCTGACAGTCCCCACAGTTCTTACTTATCATCCCTGCAGTTTTTAATTCATCTGTTTGAGGGGCAGAGAGACTGGCACATCAATCCTCCTGTAGAAGCAAAATCAACCGGAACGCTGGACGGTTCCTCCTGCATTTCCAGTGTCCACCACCAGATGTCAGTAGGCAACAAGAACCAGGGTGCCTTCTGAGAGATGGGGGGGGACCCAATCCACCTGTGCCCAGGGAATGGGGGGAGCAGCTCCTTCTCTACTCCTGCGGGGGTGCCCTTGGTGGACGGCCCCTTAGGATCCCTCTGCCTCCTCCCCACTCTTCCTTACACCCTGCCAGTCTCCGCAGACCCTCATCTGGAGCTGCTGTGGTCTTTCTGGGGGCAGGGAGGGGGTGCTCTCAGCACCATTTCTTTTGTTCTTCAGCTAATCATACTCCAATGTCCTGCCCCCCTCCAGCCCCCAAGTTCATAGATTAAAGTCCGGACTCCTGTTTCCTAGAATGTGGCTTTATGATGGCATGCCAGGGCACACTGGGTCACTAATCCATTATGACTGCTGTCCTGACAAGAAGGGAGCATAGCAGGTAAAGACTGGGATGCTGGCACTACCCACGCAGCTCCCTGCTAATGCACCTGCTTAGGCAGCAGAAGCTGGCACAGTGCTTGGGTCCCTGCACGCTTGTGGCAGATCTGAATGAAGCTCCGGGCTTCTGCCTTTGACCTGGCCCGGCCATCTGGGGAGTGAACCATCTGTGTGTGTGTGTGTGTGTGTGTGTGTCTGTGTGTGTGTGTGTGTGTGTCTGTGTGTGTGTGTGTGTCTGTAGGTTTGCCTTCCTGTACGGCCTCCAGGAGCTCAGGCTCGCAGCAGGCTCAGCGGGTACAAATTCCAGGAAGTCGCCCAGTAGCACAGCCCTGTACCCTGCAAGATGCAGACCCTTCTAAAACCCACCTCATACACACACACACACACACACACACACACACACACGCACACACACACACACGCACACACGCACACACCCTGCAGCAGGTGCCTGAGACCAATGTCAGCGCTAAACGGTTCTTCTGTAACTACACCTAGAACCCAAGAGGGTTGCTGCGACCTGCTAGCTAGTTTAGATCTGAGAGCGCCAGAAGGCCTTGCCAGCCACTGTGTACAGTTAGCGCTCTGCCCAGCCATTGAGAGAGAGAGAGAGAGAGAGAGAGAGAGAGAGAGAGAGAAGAGAGCTCCTTCTCCTAGGGATGTACTTGCTTCATCTGGGACCCAAGAGGGGTGCTATCAAAGTGTCTGGGGAATGTCTAGCAATGTATCAAAAGCACTCGAGTAACACCCTCTGCGCATTCTTCCCTACATCAGGGTGTCTAAGGTGTCATCAAATGACCGCCCCCATCCCCGGGTGCTGATGTAGTTTGACAGCAAGGAGTGCCCCCCTTCCTTTCATTGTTGATAAGAGAAAAAAGAAATGGAAACGTGTGCCACCCACCTGTTCCCATACCTCAACCCTCCCCACCTTAATTGGAGACCCACGTGGGCATGCTTCCATCTCAACTATGTAAATAATATTAAAAATCAAATGTAAGATGGGCGATGAGAAGCAGGGGAACTGGACTGAGAAGGAGGAGGAGGAGGAGAGAGGAAGCAAGCGATTTGTACAGCAACGTCTAACAGTTGGGAGGGGCCCTGAGAAGACCTCCCTGCCTTCTCCCCTCTGCCCCAGGGACAGCAGGAACCCCGGACAGCACACAACTCTCCCCAAGAAGCCGAGAACGCTCACAGTCTCACTCATAGGAAGCTCTTGGGCGGCTTAACTGTGGCACGGCTCAGCAGCTGGCACAGCTGCTCTCTCGAGCTCTGTGGCCACCGTCGACGTGAGACAAGAGCTACTTGAGCACAAGCCTAGGGATGCCACAGCTCAGGAGCAGTTTCCCTTCTCCCCTACAAGACCAGAGAGCAGAGGGTCCAGGCAACTTGGCCCCAAACACCAGGAGCCCCTGGGACCGCTGCCACCCACCGCAACACGGGTCCGCCCACCTGGTGCCCAAGCCCCCATCTGGAGCCCGGCGCTCTTGTCCAAAGTGCTAATTCTAGCCTGTGTGGTGAAGCCAACATGGGGGGAGAGGAGGGTACACCCAGAGCACCCTGAGCAGCCTGTTGGTAGGTGGGTGAGTGGGAAGGGGGGACAAGTTAGCCCTATCCATCTTCACCACCCAAACCACTCACTTCATCAGTACAATCCCCCACCCACTACTATCAACAAAGGAACCCCCTGGGGCCCTCCCTCCATCCCTTCCCCGCTCCAAGGCCCAGCAGTGTGGACAGCAGGTACCTAAGCAAACAGAAAAGAAAAAGGGACGCAGCTGCCACTCTGAGCACATTAAATACTGTTTTCTTAATTCCCCCTCCTCAATAAGTGCTGATTATGGGGTCCGCCTGAGGCCTGATCTTTCCAGCCACCTGACTTCAGTTCAGGAGGAAAGAACAGAGGGGGGGCACCCAGAACCCAGAAGCCGAGGGGGAGCAGCTGGCGGGCTGCCCTTGGGGGCCGGGGGGCCAGCAGATGGGAGGCACTGATTATGCCGCCAGGGCTATGCCAGGGCCCCGCATTTACACTTCAAAAGGGGCGGCTCCCCATTCTACACACCCGTCTTGCCCCAGCCTAATTCTGGGGAAAATCAAGTGGGCTTGGAGTGAGTTCCCCTCCCGGCCCCACCCCTTCTTAACAGGAGGGCGGGTTTAAACAAGCCTCCAGGAGTTAACACTCATCTGCTAGACAGAGGCGGGCCAGCCAGGCCCTCCTCCTCCTCCTCTTCCTCCCGCCTGGCTAGTGGCTCACAGCTCTGCTGCTGATGGGGACCTGCTGCCATCTGTGTCCTTGGCCACTGCATACGACCCTTGGTTACAGAGCTGGAGTTATGATTGCTTCGAAAAATACTTTCTGGTACACGCATGATCCCCACTTCCCCAGCAATGCTTCAGGCTGTGACCTCATTTGGGAGTTGCCCTACTGTCAAGGGGCCAAAATCCTCAATGGGACCCACGGGGAGGCCACCCTGTGAAGACAAGAGGGTCCAGGAACACCCAGAGGACACCACTACCGAGCTGGAAGGTGGAGACACCTAATACTACACACATGTGCACACACTTACATTCATAAGCACAGTACATCCGTGCACACCCACACTCACTCCCATGCATGCACACCTGTGCACACCCATACACACTCATGTGCGCATACCCACACCCCTCAAGCCCTACTTTTCCATGTCAACTTCAAAAGCCATCTAGAACCATCCGCTCTGCCATCCGCATCTGTGTGTGTGAGAGAGAGAACAGTAATTAGCTTGGTAGCATTTGTCATTTCCTGATAGACTTGAGCCCTTTGGGAAAATCTATAAATGGGAAAACGCTTCCTCCCCGACACACCAGGCAACCTAAAAGGGTGCCGATGGGCTGGCTTAACCCCCACGCGCACGATCCACACCTTCTTGGTGGGATGAGAGACAGCAGGGGGCTGCTGGGCCCTGGGCTGGCACCCTATACTTGAGCGTCCCTCTGGGAGGCTGGCAGGGTACAGCTGGGGCACCGCCTACTTTCTAAGCTCCTTCAGCCTAGGAAGCCAGGCCAGAGGCAAGGTTCAGGCACAGGATCCCTGGAAAGCGTTTGCCCTGGCAGGGGAATGGCGGTGAAACGGCATGTGGGTGCCTGGGCACGCAATGAGGGCTCAAAGCACACCCCCTCCTCCCTCCAGGACACTGAAGAGTTCAGAGAGCCCAGTCCCTGTCTCCGTGGGGGCAGAACCCCCGGCTATTCAGATGGGTGTTCCATAGGAGTGTGGGCTCAGCCTGGTATGGTGGTCTGGAGGGAGCCCTGGACCACTCTGCTAGGAAATGGCGAGCACTGAGACTTCCGTCTCCCCAGGGCCCACACCCAGCTCCCCTAGACACCCAGCTGTCTTCTTGGAATAGCTCAATCTATACCTCATGGTGGAATGTGAAGACTCCGGGATGGAAAAGAAGAGAACATGCAGAGGGGTGGATTTCAGGAGCTGGGTTTCTGGGGTCAGGGTAGAGCTCACGGGGAGGTAGCCAGCAGGGGCGCAGGGCTGGGCAGCACAGTGTGAGGGTCCCATAGACACTGTGATGGACACATGGCAGCTTTGCGAAGTGGCCACTAGTTCTACAGAGGGGACCAGCTGAGGGGGGTCTCAGCATCATTCCCAGCCTTGTGGGGACCCACTAAAGGCTCTGCAACCGAGGCTGCTTTGGGACAAAGGAGACCCCTGGCCTTCTAGGAGTGAGAATGGCCTCTCTGGGCTCCCAGTAGACTGGCTCCCTTAGCTGCTCAGTGGGGTGCAGAGTTGGGCCGCTGGGACCACTGGACAGCCAGCCCCCTGCTTGGCACCTGCCAGCTGCATCTGCTGAACTCCACCAGGCAAAGCCTGTGAATGTCCCAGCTACCCGAATTCAAGGGACGGGGACCTGCCTAGGAATGCAAGGGACAGGTAGTCACCTGTGGAACAGCCTACCAGCGCAGGACAAGCTTCCCAATCGGACAGGAGTTGACTCTGTGCTGGTCAAGTTGCTTGCCAGTACTGGAGCATCCTTGGACTAGGGCACGTGCCCCTTGCCTGTCCATTCTCAGGTTTGTGCCTGCAAGCACACAGGAAGGCAGGGTCCTTCTGCTGTTGCCTGTCTCTCATTCATCATCCCTTCCTTCCCGTTCGCTGCCCTGGGCACCCCAGCCCAACAACTCAAGCCCACAGCTCTGTGGGTGCTGCCTCAGCTGCTGGCATCTCGGCTTCCTCTCAGCACGTCTGCTGCTCTGTCCTGCAGGCCTAGGACGGGCACAGAGCATGGGCAGGAGGGCTGTTGAGGTGAACAAAGGTGAGTGGGCAGCGGAGACAGCACCCGCCCAGCCAGCAGGTGCCAAGCCTGGCTGTGCAGCAACAGCTGGGCAAATGAGGCAGGCCAAGCAGGTGGCTGGCTAGGGTCAAGCATCAAGAAAGGTATCCTTCCAAGAATGCCCTGTCCTCCTCCTCTCCTGCTGGATTGGCCCAGGGTCATACCACTGGTACATTCCTAGCGTTGGTGGTACAGGGTCCAACTTCAAGGCTATGCCCCGTGTCCCTCAGGCAAGGCTGTGGTTGCCTCCCGCCCACTGGAATGGGGATACCACCCATCTATTCCCTGACTCCAGTCAAGGATTGCGGGCAGCTGAGGCAAGCAACATTGTTTGCTTGAAGGAACATGAGAAATGGCACTCTTTATTCATAAATAAAAACAAATAGTTTACATGGCCAGAGATTGAGGCCAAAAACAAAACCAAACTGAGGCAGAGCCAACCCAACCCAAGACACAACTAAGAGGAGAATAAACTAACTATGCACAAATCCTTCTAGAATGCCAGCTCCTGTTGGACATGTGGCTTTGCCAGCAGGACACGTGTGACAGTGGGCTGAGGCCAGGACCAGGAGGGGCTCCGTGAACATCTCTCAGGACAAGAGTCCCTAAGAGCTCCCTGGAAGCCACTGTGAAAAGGGCAACTGACTGCAGGTCGGGCCGTCGGGAGCCGCCTGTGTGTGGAGCAGCGCCACACACACAGTGAGGGCCCTGCATTTGAAGAGGGTCGCAGGGCTTTGAGGCAAGGCACCCTTTGGTCACCACAGGGGGTGGTGTGGGAGCTCCAAGCTACCCAGGCCCAAGTCCCACGCTCCTTCTCTTTGCTCCCCAAGCTGCGGGGTTTGGTGAGGTGGTCCGGGACTGATAAGGATGTTTCTTGGCAAGGGAGGGGAAAAGAAGCCCACAGAGGTCCAGGGCATTTGGTATTCTGTTGTCAGTGTGGGCCACGCTGCGCCAAGTGAGGGCTAGGCTAGGGTGTGTGGAGGTAGGGTGCAAGCCTGGCACCTCAGCACCCACCCCTGGGCTGCCGGATGTTCCTGATGGTGGTGGTGTGTCCCAAGTCTGGGGAAGAACAGGCAGCCCCTTGCTGTCATGCCACCGGTAAGGGTCCACAAAAGGCACAAGCCGGTGGAAATGGGGCACACACACCCAGGGACCAGAACTGGCCCCGAGTCCTCTGTGCTACAGGCAGACACGACAGCCCGTGCAAGCAGGGAGGGGCTGTTGGCTGAGATCCACCTTATGGCTAAGAAGAGTGGCTAGATTCTAGAACATTCCCCTCACTCCTCAGACCTGTGAGGTCAATGTCACCGCCCCCTGGAGTGTTATATGGGGGATGGTAGGACCAAAATACAGTGCCAACCACAGGAAAGGACCCTGCCCCCTGCACACAGTCCTGTGGCTGCCCAGGGCCTCTATTCCCATTCTAAGTGAATCAGGGTGGAGAGGCTGTCCTGGGGCAGCTGAGTGCCCTACCATGCCCGCAGCCCCTCCAAGCAGCAGGCAGGCAGCAGGAGCAGAAATGCAGCAGTGAGGCTCGGAGCTGTGGCTGCAGTCAAAAATAGAACCAGGCGCTCACAGCCTGCTGCATCTGCTGGCTTCTTCAGGAAGAGGCAATGAGAAAAAAAGTTCCTTGAAGCCAGCAAGGGACAGAACTCCCACCTGCTCCCCTCGGCCCTGCAGGGCTGGAGTCTCCTGCTAAGAGTGGGCACTGGCTGCACCCCAGGGGCCTCTCCAAACTGGGGCTGGGTGGGTGTGTGGAGGCCAGCCAGCTACAGCCAGGTACACCTGCCAATGTCCCACCTGGGGCGCTGAGGGAGCCCACACCTGCCCGATGCCTCTAGAAGCCTAACACTGAGATAAGTTAAGGGGCAGAGCCAAGCTGCCGGTGCTCCAGCTTCTGGCGTACACGCGGGCCAGGCTGGATCCTGACAGAGGCAGGGGAGGGAACCACAGGCCAGAGTACTGGTCAGCCAACACTGTACCCGGAGACCCCAACAGAAAAACCACCCTGTCTCCACTGCTCTCAACCCCTCGGGATGTCTGTTGCTTTCTGAGGAGTTGTCCTTAAGGCTACCAGCTGGGCAGGGTTGCTGGGCTCCAGTGAGTAGGGGCCCAGGCCTGGAAGTCTGCCAGCAAACATCCTGGCTACATTGGCACCTCCTACCCACAGCTGGTGTCTTGCAGTCTTGGCACTTCAGGTTGACCCAACCCCTTGGCCACGTCTTCTCTCTACCTTGCTTGGCTGTGGGCGTGGCTATAAGCCACATTGTCCACCCATCCCACCCGACCAGTCTTGAGGCTGGAGGAAAAACAGCACAGCCAACCAGAGTGGGACAGAGACACAGGCTTGTAGAGGGGAGGCAGCTATGGATGAGAAGCAGAACAGAGCTTGCTTCTGTCCTGGACAGGGTCATGTGGGCCTCAGCAGCAGGTATCATTTCCGCTTTGGACATAGAGAGCTCAGCAACGCACGCAGTGACCCCTAGACGTTACAGACAGGGGAACGGATTCCATGGAATGCAGGAATTCTCAGTGCAGGGACCATGGACAGGGAAGGAGAGGCCACCCTGAAACACCCCCAAGTCTGTGTCCAGGGGGGTGACTGTCCTGCAATGGGGAACCCCATCCCCTACCCCTTGTCAGATCTCTGTGGCTATGATGTCCTCGTAGGGGATGTCAGCTCCTTCAAAGGGCTCAATCTCCAAGGGCTCCCCGGCGGCGCCATCCCCGCGGGCCAGCTGCCTCAGCGCCTTCTCCAAGCGCTGGTTACGCTGGTACATGGCCAGGTAGCTCTGCTGCAGCTGCTTCTGGTACTGGATCACTTTCTCCTTCTCCTCCTTCCACACCAGCCGCTCGTGCTGGAAGCCCGAGGACATCTGATCGTGGCCCTGCCGCTCCTCCCTTAGCTCAGCACGCAGCCGCTCCAGCTCCCGCTGCAGGGCTGGGATGTCCTCGGGCGCCACCCCTGGGGGCGGGGCGGGCCCGGCGGGCGGTGGCGGAGGTGGCACAGGTGGCCTAGTGGCCTGTGCCCGCAGTGTCAGCAGCTCCTGCTCCAACAGGCTCACGTTTTCCCGCAGCAGCTCCGCCTCGTTCTTCTTGCGCTGCAGTTCGTTTTCGCACACCTCCAGCTCCAGGCCCTTGGTGCGCAGGGCGCCCTCCAAGTCCTGCGTCTTGAGCTCGGTGCCCTCCAGCCGGCCCCGCGCCTCCTTCAGCTGTGCCTTCAGGCTCACGATCTCGCTGGCCTTGGCGTTGACCTCAGTCTGCGATTCCTTGAGCTGCTGCTTCAGGAGCGAGATCTCACCTGACTTCTGGCACACCTGCAGGGGACAGTGGGGATGGGGATAGAGCCACAACAGGTGGATGTACACACCTGAACCTGGCATTGCATGGGGAAGCTGGGGGGCCCGTGAGGGCCAAGGCCTCCTTAGAGGCTCCTTCACCTGCCCAACCTACACCCAAATTCTTGACTCTGAGGGTCCTACAGAAAACGCAGGGGTAATAGAATTACCAGCAGGATCTAAAGGGAGAGCTAGAGCCACCCACGGAACACCCCATTACTTTCTGGAACACCAGGATGTTTTAAACCGTCTGTGAGACAGGCATATCATGGAAGGCTATCTGTGGGTTTCTCAAAATTAGAATTTTTTTTTAATAGAGGACCGGCGAGTGGGGGGCCAGATGCCAAGCCAGCACTCGCTGTTCTTGCTGAGGTGCTCCACCAGGTCAGGTGGCTGGCCGTGATGCCATGGATGGCGAAGGGGAACAGAAACTATCCCTCTAGCCAAGCTCCTTCTGGGTCTGGGGAAGCTATTCAAATAGAACATTCCTCTGCCTTCTCCCCACCCCCATCCACCTTAGCCATGGAGATCCTGTTCTCTCCTCCCAGAAATACATGAGCCCTGGGGATGGGAGGGGCAGGGCAATGCCATGGCTCAACAGGCTAGTCCTCCACCTTGTGGCACCAACATCCCATGTTCTAGTCCCAGCTGCTCTACTTCTGACCCAGCTCCCTCCTTATGCTTGGGAAGGCAGCGGAGGATGGCCCAAGTCCCCAGATTTCTGCATCTAATGTGGGAGACACGGAAGAGGCTCCTGGCTTTGGATTGGCTCAGCCCCTGGCCCCTGCGGCCGTCTGGGGAGTGAACCAGTAGATGAAGGACTTTTCCATCTTTCCTTCTCTTTGTAAGTCTGCCTTTCAAACAAAAATTTAAAACATTAATTTTAAAAAGTAGAACAAAACAAAACACATCACTGGGCTTTCCAAAAGCAGTCCAACACGCTGCTGCGTGGAGATGGGGGTGGGTGCACATGGCTGGGCTGGGAGCTGGTCTTTGCAGTGACTTACCCCCCCCCCACCCTCGGAGACCCTTTCCCAGGGAGCAGGCCAAGCAGGGGGTCCATATCGGAACTGCCCTGCACATTTCTCAACTCACTCTCCAGCTCCCCGAGTCTCTCAAAGTGAGAAAAAGCTGTGCAAGTGAATGAAAACAGCTTTGTAAGAATGTGCATGTCTGTGCAAGTTGTGTGGCTATGTGCATGTACAAGCATGCATACATGTACAGATGTGTGTTCGCATGTTAGCATGGATGTACATGTGTGTGCCTCTTCTTCTCTGGCACTCCAGATAGAAACTCCAGATACACTTCTAGAACTGTCACCAACACAGAGCCTCCTACTGGAGTGTGGAAGGTGGCAACAAGAGCAGGCCACACTCCCCCTCCCAGCCCCTGCACCCACATCAACTACTCAGGCCTCTTGCAAGCAGAGGAAGCCAGGTCGGCCCTCTGATGGCTGCCAGCTTCCCCCTCCTGAATTCTGTGCATTCAGTTCTGGGGGGGCCACAGAGAGCTAAGTACAACCTCCTCCCTCCCCATCCCAGCCTTCACTCTCAGCTCCTAGGGGCAAGCGGCCTCACCTCCCACTGGGTCTCCTCCAGGGCCGGGGCGAAGCTGGTCTTCTCCCTCTCATAGGAGCGCAGTTTGGTTTCCAGCAGGTCCTGCTCCTTCATGAGGCTCTCGAGCTCCTGCCGCAGCTGCCGCTTCTCCTGCTGCAGTTGCAGCACCTGCAGCTGCAGCACCTGCTGGGCTCGCTGGCTCTTCTGCGACGCCTGCGTCGGTTTGAGCCTGCTGTGGCCCTCCGGCGGCTCATCCCTACCCGCCACGGCCATCGCCATCGCACGGCGAGGGCGCTCCTCCTGGACCAGCTCTTTCTCCTCAAAGCTGCGGTGCAGCTTCTCCCGCGCCAGCAGCTTCCGCTCCAGCTCCTGCAGGCTGCACTCATCCGTGGAGAGTGGGGAACGTACACAAGACAAGCCCTTGTCCGCTACAGCCACCGCTGCTGCTTTACCCGGAGGCTGATGGTGATGGTGCTGGTGGCCCAGCTTGCTGCCACCGTCAGAGAAGGACAGTGCCTTCAAGCTCATCATGTTGCTGTCCTGGGGGAGGAGTCCCTGTGTGATGTTGTGGGCGGAGCCTCCGAAGCGGCTGCTGCTGGGCCCCACGGGTGTGACCAGCGGGTCCAGCTGGTAGCTGCTGGTGGTGCTGTGTGTGGGCAGGCTGGACATAGAGTTCCGGCCTGAGTCGGACAGTGCCCCTGAACACAGGCCGGGTTTTAGCTCCTGCTCCTTGGTCTTATCTGCGGGAGCCACGTGGAGCTGCTGGTGGCCGGTGCTCTCCGGGGAGGAGTGCAGGAGGGCTCCGGAACGGGGCAGCACGGGTTTGAAGGCAGTGGGCCTCACCGCACCCTTCTCTGAACCCTGCAAAGGAGAAGAGCCACGCTGACATCCCACCCCCATCTCCCCACTGCCAAGCCCATGCTGCTGCCTCTTCTACCCACCAGGTCAGTGTGCTGGCCCTGACCGGCACTACTCTAGGTCAGAGGACACATGGCTGTGCATGGCAACCCTACCAGTTGCTCTAAAGCTGCTGAATGGAACCCATCTCTTGGAGCAGAGCACTAAGTGGGCATTTGGCTGCCCTGAGCCCTGCATTATAGGTTGGGGCCCCCATCCGGGGTCACTGTGTGATGGAGGGACACACACCCTCTGTGATCCTGCTCCTGATTGGGCTGTAGCCTGCAGCTACAGCCTTTTTCCAAGTTCCCATTTTTATGAGCAGGGGATGGCTGGAGATACTTGAGTGGGTCCCAGTCCTTAAGGGTTCAGTGGTTGTGACTGATTTCATTACCAGGTTAGTGGGGAAAGGTGAGAGCTTGGGAAGAAAGACAAGCTGAGGTTAGATCAAGGTCATCAGGGGGCAGCCCTGCAAGGATGAGTGAACCTGGCTGGGGGGGGGGGGGCGGGGGGCTTTGTGAACAATGGAAGACACACACACACACACACACACATCCTGAAAGTCTATTTCCCTTTCTGAACCGTGTGCCCAGGCTGGGCTGTGGCCCTGTTGCTAACAGGAAGCAGAGGGACCTGGGAGCCCTGAGGTGAGCGCACACAAAGCCCTTGGCCTCGGCCAGGCCATCAAGGCCCGAGGATGCCTCCTTTAGGGACTGAATGAGAGAATTGTGTCCAGTGGGTGCACTGGTATGAGTGCTGGGAGAGCTGCAGCTGGCAAGGGGGCTGGGAGCTCCAAGTCCCTGGGGACGATGTCACCCTTATCTCTGCTAAGTGGATAATCAGTACAAAAACCCCAGCTGTATCCCGGGGCACGCCAGACGGGGTCAGCCAGGGAAGGGGGCTGCTGGCCTCTGGGGTCTCTCCAGCAGGGAGGAGGCCCCCACCTCCAACCACAGTGTAGATTTCTCTCAGTAGAGAACCCAGACGCTGCCATTAACCTTCTTTGTGTCTCTGCCAGGCTAAGGTGGGCCTGATCTTTGGAGCCACACCTGTGAGCTGCCACTTCCGCCCTCACCCTTGCTTCGCCTGCTGCTGGTAGACCTGTGTGGCCAGGTCACTAGTGCTTGATCACTGTCTCCTGCCTTCCCAACCCAAGCATGCCAGGGCCCCCTAACTTACCATTTCCAGCTGGCCAGAGTAGGGCATGAGTTTGGGTGGGGTGGACGGGTCGAAGTCCACCCCGGCCTGGCCCCCCAGGTCACCGCTGGCCAGGGCCGTGTAGTCGGGGCGATGGGAGCCCCGCGCTTTTTGGCTGACCTTGATATAGAAGAAGTCTTCGCTCTTGCCCATCTTGGAGCTGGACTTGCCGTGGCTGGAGTCCTGGGAGAAGCCGAACCTTAGCAGACCGTCCGAGTAGCGGTTGAGTTTCTTGAGGTGGGAGGACTTGCGCAGCTTATACTGTGATGCCCGGCAGTGCTTGCCGTGAAAGCCGTGACGGCCCGAGATGAGACTGCTGACACTACCCATGGCGATCGGGGCTTGGAGATGGCCTGGAAGGGGCGCTGTGGCCACGAGGGGCAGTCCTGGCTTCTCCGAGGGACTGCAGTCATAGCCAAGCCCTCATGGGGCCTGGGGAGGAGCTGCAGACCTGCAGGGAAGCAGAGAGACATTAGTGCAAGCAGCCAGGGACCGGAACAGGTGCACCCCCGGGATTCGGGGGGCGGCCACAGCCAAATGGATGTGTACAGTGCCCTGTGCTGGAGGAACTGGAGCAGAGCGTGGGGCCCAAGGCTTCCAGGAGGTGGTGGCTTTGCAAGGCAGTGTTGCCCTTTGAGTGTATCCCTAATGGAAACATAAGCTCCTAGGTAATATGTTGGTGGGGGTGGGGCCTAACTGAGGATGCAGCCCATCAACCCCTCTCACTTCCGTTCTCCAGGAGATCACGAATGGCTCGAACAGGAACTAGGGACATCCAACCCACCACAGCTGGCAATAGAAATCCATTGTGTCCTCTGCAGGCTGATTTTTGAACTGGAATGGTTCGCGTGGTCTATGAATGCTGTTATAAAGCCTTGGCAGAGAAGGCATGTCCCCCACCCATTGTGAGGCCAGAAGATGGGGGTGAACAGGTGCACCTCTCCTGTTCGCCATGTTGTATGTGGGACACTGCAAGTGGTCGCCTTACCAGACACGGGTGGGTCTTGGGTCTGCCAAGTCCATGAACTGAATCCATCTTCTTTTGTTTGTTTTTAAAATAATTACATTTATTGTTTTTTTACTGTAAAGGCATATTTGCAGAGAGAAGGAAAGAGAACAGAGTTGGGCTGGTCTGAAGCCAGGGGCTTCTTCCAGGCCTTTCATGTGGACTTGGGCCAATCGCACTGCTTTACCAGAACACTTAGCAGGGAGCTGGATTGGAGCCGGAGCAGCCAGGTGCACATATGGGATGTTAGCAGCACAGGAGGCTTAGCCTGAGGCACCAGGGTTCTGATCCCCGTTCCTTGTTGCTTTCACCTCCTAACTCACTGTGCCTGCCCCTACAATCTCATTTGAAGTCTAATTGCTTCATCTGTGTATCTCCACCAGAAGCCAGGCTCTGTGACATCAAAGCTGATATGACCTGTGACTCCCGGAGTAAGAACAATTGGGCACAGAATTCAGGAGGTGAGATGCTGCGGCCCGGTCAACGGAGCTGACCAGTGGCCAAGATTCAGACCATTCGGTCCAAATGCCACCATCTGCAATGTGACAGCAGTTTGCTGGGGACCCACACAGCTAGAGCCACCTCTCTCTTACAGGCCCCAGGGTTGGAGAAAGAGAAAGCCTGGGGAGAAATGGAGATGTGCTGTCCCCAGTTGGAGCTTCCAGTGGGCTCAGGGTGGACACCCGTAGGGGCATCCGAGGGGAGGTGCTCGCTGCAGCGAGGTGGGGTGCGGGGTGCAGAGCAAGGAGACCAGATGCCAGGAGCAGAGTGACTGAAGGAGGCCACTCTTATGCCTGGGTTTCCCCCTCCATGTTTTTCTTTTAAATTAGATCCACACACACGGTGTACACATGTACACACGCGCACACACTCCACTTGCTGGCTCAACGCCTCCCAATGGTTGGAGCTGGACTGGGCTGAAGCCAAGAGCTCCTCCGGTTCTCCCATCAGGGTGGCAGGGACCCTAGAACATGAGCCATCACTGCTTCCCCCCCTATGTCTGCCTGAGCAGGGAGCTGGCAGCTGGGGTGCAGCCAGGGCTCGAACCCATGCACCCTGAATGGAACCAGCGTCTTTACTGCTACACTCCCTCCTCTACCCACTCTGCCTTGGTCTGGTCCCGTGTAGAGTTTGAGGTTTTTCCAGGATCCTCCCGAGGCTGAGCTAATCCCCCTCTAAGTGTCTAGACACGTTGCCTTGTCAACCTGAAGAGTTTGCGACAGAAGCCTGGCTGTCAGCCACCAGGCTGCAGGCCCCCCAGTCTTCTCCCTACCCCTCCCACAGGCTGTCTGGTATGCCTGAGGATGCAAGAAGGGGTGTGTGTGCTTTATGTAGGAAAACATCCCCACTGGCCAAGGTGTAAAGGACTGAGCACATGGGCCTTGGAGAGGAGAAAGGCGAAGGAAGGCTGATCTGCCTGTTTTACAGGAGCGATCTCAGGACTGCCCAGCAGGCACCCAGCTGGGGTGAGTCCAGGACTTCAGGGAGGAAGGGACACACAAGGGGAGCCTCTCCACCTGAGGCACCAGCATGCCATCTGTGTGCAGTGGTTTGAGTTCCGACTGCTCCACTTCCGATCCAGATTCCTGATATTACATGCTGGGAAAACAGCAGAGGATGATTCAAGTCCTTGGGCCCTCTCCACACCCGCATGGGAGACCCAGAAGAAGCTCCTGGTTCCTGGCTTCAGCTCAGCTCAGCACTGGCTATTGCAGCCCATTTGGGGAGTGAACCAGCAGGTGGAAGATATCTCTCTCTGTACTTTGGCTTTCAAAATAAATAAAATCTTTAAACAAAAAATGGATGTAGGGTAGGGACCAGAACAGTTGGTGAAAGAGAACCTGTGCCCCAAGAATTCAGAAGACACCTCCATCATCCTCTGTAGCCTAGCTGGTGGGTGCTATACCAGGATGGGGAATGGCCTGGGTGAAGGGTGGCATCCGCTGCCTGTCTAGTCGGTCTGGCCCTTCACCAAAGAACATGGGTCCAGGCAAGTACACGGCTTTCCTCAGACTGCCACCTTCCTGAGCATGGGCTCAGAGGCATGGGCTGGCAAAGGGGTCTACATGGATCGGGGGTGGGGTGAGAAATAGTACAGCTCACCCCCATCCCAAAGGCCCTGCAGACACAGATGGTCAAGTGGGAGTAAGCCGGCAATACCTGGAGACGAGGCTCAGCTGACATGGCTCAGGGTGCGGCCCAGTGGAGGGCAGTGATGCTGGTGGGGCATCCTGCGGGGGTACACATTGGGCCTGCTTGTGCTGTGGCATGCTGAGTGACAACAGAGCCTGTGAAGCCACCACACGCAATGCCAGGGTCCCTTTTAGGTATCAGTTCAAGTCCCAGCTGCTCTACTTCAGAATCAGTTCCTCAGTTAACATGCCTGGGAAAGCAGCAGAGCACGGCCCAAGTACCCCGCACTTACACGGGTGAAGCTTGATGCTCCCCTGGGGGACATGTCTGCCTCTATAATGACTAAATTAAAATGAAACCCAATAAAAACCATCCTGCAATGAAGCTGACCTGAATTGACAACAGATCTTTCTCGGGTTCAGGGGTTACCCTGCCTCAGCTTCCCCACTCTTGATATGCAGGGACCTGTGCCTGCCCTGTCACCAGCCTACATTGTGGCCAGAAAGGAAAAGGAGAGCTTGGCGAGCCCTTTCCCAGGGCAACTGTCCCCAAGGGTTGGCTCACTCCGCAGATTTCCAGCACAGCCGGGACTGACCACAGGCCTCCATGCTCGGAGTCACTCCCACAGCTTCAAGTGACTGGGTTCAAAAACCACGATCATAGGCTTTTGTGTTGTGGCAGAGCAGGTGAAGCCACCATCGCACAACACCAGTATCCCAGAGGGGATGCCAATTCTTGACCTAGCTATCCCCAATCCAGCTACCCCTGCATAGGGCCTGGTAAAGCAGCAGAGGATGACCGAAGTGCTTGGGCAGGAGACCCGGGATGAAGATCCTGGCTCCTGGTTTCAGAGAGGCCCAGCTCCCATCTGGGGAGTAAACCAACAGATGGGAGAGTTTTCTATAAGTCTGCCTTTCAAATACATAAGTCTTAAAAAGATATAGAGGATAGAGCTAAAGGCGCTCCTTCAGGGAGGCCCCCCATGCCCCCTGTAGCTTTCCAGGAGAGCAGCTGGGACCAGCCAGGAGGGCAGGCTAGTACAGAAGCATCTGTCAGCTGGAGCAGGGAGGAGGGGGGATGGCAAGTGGGAAGGGAGGCGGGGCTGATGCACCAGATGGGTGGGCGGCCCCGGGCCAGCTCCTAGCAGCAGCCTCTCTCAAGGGGCTAAGTGGGGGCACGTGCCGGGAGGGGGCTAATTGACTCCCTTTTCCAGATGCCTCTCCTCTGCCCTCCCCTACCACTCCAGGCTGCCCCCTCCCCCATTCAGCTGTCTCTATCTGCAGCCCTCCCAGTATTTGCATTGGCTGTCCTTGACCCCTCCTCTTTTTCCCAGGGGCTGCTTGAAATGGGGTGTGAGGGGGCCAGGGTAGGGGCAGGGGGCAAGCTTGGGGTTAGTTAATCATCTCTGCTCAGGCTGCAAGCCTTGGGCACCTGGAGGGAGCCACGTGCAACAGCTCAGACCCCATCTGCAGAGTTGAATGGATGAATGAAAAAGGAGCTGAGAGGAGGAGGAGGAGAAGGAGGAGGAGGAAGGGTGAGGGAGCTGGAGGAGGGGTTCCAGGTGCTGAGGTGCCAGGAGGAGCAGGTTGCCGGTGGGTGGGGAGCAGGGGCCCACACAGATCTCAATTAAGCCCACTCGGATGCTAGAGAGAGGCGGGAAGTAAATCGCTGGCAGGCTGAGTCACGGCATCGGGGCGACGAACAATCGGAAGCGATGCCGGCTTCCCACTGCTCCGGGAAGAATGAAAGGCACTGCGCCTGGCAGGCACACAGGGCTTTTGTGCACATTCCGGCTCGGTGCTCAGCTGTGCTGGGCACAAGCCTCCCTCCTCCTTCGCCCCCGGTGGGCCACACTGATTGACCAACCCATCCCAACCCTGCCCTTCCCCCTTCCAAAAAAGGACCCTCATGCAAATTGAACCCGCTTCATGACCGCAGAAGGCAAGCACACACATTTGCAGGAGTTGGTGCCCGGTGCAGCTGGGCCAAGAGAGACACACACACACACACACACCTTCCTCTGAAAAGCCTGGCTCAGGTCCCAGTGTGGAGACCATCAGAGGAAGAGCTGGACAGCTGGTTTTAGACTCCCTGCCCATCTCACCCAGACAAGCACAATGTTCTAGAACTCCCGGTGTCCCACACACATGGTCACTCTCGGAAGGTCTGTGTGGGCTAGTCAGAATCAACT